AAGACCAAATTGATAGAGCCTTGCATTCCCCCAAGCCTGGACCATAAACATAAAATTAATTGGGTGGAGCAAATAACCTTCACCTCACACCTTTCATCATATATTCTGGAGAAATCATTTTGAAAGGCAAGAGCCTTTGATAGGTCTCGTCACATTGCTGGCCACTCATGATGCTATTTACCGCTATTTACTTCAAAGCAGTAATTTATCTTTACATATTGCTCCATAAATGATCGATTCTATTTGAGCCACTGCTAAAGTGCCAGGAAAAAAGACTCATGGCAAAGCCACCAAGGTTCTGCGTGCAATATTTTCCTCATTCATTATTTTCTAGGAACCACACACTGATATGTGTGCTTTTAGTTATTTCTTTGTGTCTTTTGTGATCTCTATCTCCTATCTCTATCAGTTACAATTCATGTTCCACACTTGGTTGTGTCAGAACTTGCAAACTATACAGTAAAACTTCAAGGCATTAGCTCTCGAGTAGGACTTTGCCTTAAACCACTCTTCGTAGCTGGGACAAGGCCAGGCAGCGGAGAAGGAAACACCGCAAGAGAAAATAAACCTGGAATTGTCCACACATTTCCAGCAGGGGTCACTGGTTAATGACCCTGGCTTACTTTTTCCTTCCTTTGGTAGGTGAGGCAATTGTACTCCCACCATTGCAACTCCCACTAACTCAATACAGACCAAAGGTTAATTCTGGGACATTCCTGTAAGACTAACACAACATACAGTATTAGTACCTACTTGCCGCCCTTCCCAACAGAGACTTGAGTCCATGTTGAATGATATGGGTTCTTCACAGGAACCACACAGTAATAATTTATTGCATTTTTAAAAAATAATATTCTCTGTAAATTCCTCGATTCCCTCTATAATAGTTCCCATCCACCCTCGGCAAACCCTGTGACCGAGGACAGCAGCAATCGTACAGTAGAAAGAATTGCATCTATTAATAGAATGCCTTAGCAGCATTTCGTAAGAATTCTTGTTAGGAGGTGTTAGGAACATCGTAGCAACTGTTAGGAATCACTGCTTGTAACTGTGCTGACTAGTAATAATTTGCACCGTGACTGATACTGCCTGCTGCTGTGTTGTCTAAACACCCAGAGCTGATCTTGTTTTTTATATGAGCAAGACATAAGTTGAGAGGAGAAGTGGGAGCTTAAAACACATTGTTCGCTAACGTTGGCAAGCATTTTGTCTTACGCCTGCATTGAGAAATCCCATTATAAGCCCCAAATGAAAAATTTCCTTGTGTTAGCGAACATGTGTTTAATAAAATACAATGATAATTCTTCCATTTAATATAGCGCCTTTCACGTCAGGACAGCATTCCAAAGTGCTTCACAGAATATACTGTAAAACATGGTGACTATGGTTTGCAGATAAATCCCATGATCCAGACTTTTAAAATGCTGAGAGGAAAGAATAATGTGGATGCAAGCAGATTATTTAATTTAGACTGAGTCTAGCCTGGAGGCATAAAGTGAATGAGCTTCAAGCAAGATTTGAAATTAGAAAGATTCTCTGTCCTCACAGATTAGCGGAGTCTATATAGCCAAGTGGATAAAGTAATTAAGACTATGTCGATTAACGGCTTTGATAAGGAACTGGATAGAACCAGGATTTAGAGGAATGAGGATAACTACAGATTGAGATGATCAAGTGTTATGTGAATATGATGGGATACTGAGCTACTGCCATGATGGAAATGGCATCCTCAGGAAGACAAGTAGAATAAATGTTTTAGAGTGCTTCACAGTGATGGGCGTGCACTCCGAGGAATGGGGAGGGGGATGTAACCGTAGCTTTGGTCAAAGAGATCGGTATTTAGATGGGGTATAAAGACAGAGGGAAAGAGACAGGAAGTTCCATAGGTTGTGGGTAAAACCACTGAAGACTTTTGGCTGAAGTCAACCATGCAGGATGCAGGGAAACAATGACAAAGATAATATTTGGGATAGAGAGAAGCTTTCCAAGCATCTTTTAGAAAATCAAGCAGTTCAAGGAAATGGAGCTAATTGTATAATGTTTGCGGAAGGAACAGGTTTGTTGGGCTGAATGGCTTTCATCCTTTCTGTGTGTTATTTATTGTTAATTAATAATGATAATCCTTGCATTTTATACAGTACCTTATCACGTCGTGGAGACATTTCAAAGCACTTCACAGAATATATTGTAAAGTAGATTGACTGTATATTTTGCGGGTGAAACACAGCAGTCAATTGCGCACAGCAGGGTCCCACAAACAGTCGTTGATTGAGTGACTGCATTTTTTTGAAGGGATTATTATACCCGGAAAGCAGCACACGTCATCTGATGTGAAGTTTTATTGGGATTCCAGTTCTATTATTTGGAAGGTGCATTAGAAGCAGGAGTTGCTAACCCTGCGATACCCCTGTAAAGCACTGTCATACTAAATAATAGGATGCAAATTTCCAACACGTTCCAAGTTCCTGCCATCAACCTTGCCGTTGGGGGAAATTCTGAATCGAGATGAGGTGACCCCAGAGGGAAAATCAGAGCTGTTTTGTACAGTACACAGAGCAGCATTGGCAGATATTTGAAACACAGATCACCTACAAACCGTGACAGCTTGGAAATAGCATAACCCACCGGAGAGGGGGGTGGGGGGTGAGGGGTGGGGTAAGAGTAAAAAAATGGAAGTGGCAAAAAATGGATATAACCGGGAAACAAAGTACAAGCTTGGGATCTGGAATGGGATGATCTGATTGATTGCTATAATGATAATACTAATAATCCTTTCATTTGATATACCTTCCGGTTTATAATTTTGCTTAATGCAGCAGAGAAACATCACTGGCAGCAAATGACAAGAGATGAGAACCATCAGCAAGTCTGTGTTTCAACTTGGATCTTTGAATCACACAGAACATGAAATGGAAAATCACAAAGCAAAACAGCTATTGCTATTCTGGGACTCATATCCCATTTAAAGCTGTGTCAAAATATAAAATACACCATCAACCAAAACAGAACACGGTTTTTAATCACATTTTTAAGCAAACAGTAATGAAGTATAGGATTAAACAAATCTACATTCACACACACACACACACACACAACTGGAAATGCAAGAAAAATCAAGTTAACGTCTTAGAATCGAAATAAACTGAGAGGAAACCTTTTGAGGTTTATTACACAAAATAAAATCACTGTTTTTTGGGGGGGGAGAAGAGGGCAAAGTGACAATATAACGCATTTAAAAAAAACACTGAATGCAGAATATTGCAGACGATTAAAGGAGAGGAAATGCAAATGACAATTTTTGTAGCAAATAAAACCAAAAGGGATACGTGTGATGCCCGAGACCTTCTGTGAAAGGTGGAGAGGGAGGGAGGGAGGGAGAGGAGGAAGGAAGAGGAGGGAGTGAAGACTGGAGATAGATGAAAGTGGGGAGGGGAGAGGGGGAGGTGGGGGAGAGTGTTGGGGACACGCAGAGAAAGAGAGGAGAAGAAGGGAGTCGCCTGTGTTGCAAACAGCAGCTTTACAATCTGGGGCTGACAGAGGCGGGTTAGCAAGAGGCCAGAGCACAGAGCACAGGCAGAGAGAGAGAGAGACAGAGAGAGAGACAGAGCACAGAGCACAGGCAGAGAGAGAGAGAGACAGAGAGAGAGACAGAGCACAGAGCACAGGCAGAGAGAGAGAGAGACAGAGCACAGAGCACAGGCAGAGAGAGAGACAGAGAGAGAGAGACAGAGCACAGGCAGAGAGAGAGAGACAGAGCACAGAGCACAGGCAGAGAGAGAGAGAGACAGAGCACAGAGCACAGGCAGAGAGAGAGACAGAGAGAGACAGAGCACAGAGCACAGGCAGAGAGAGAGACAGAGAGAGAGAGACAGAGCACAGAGCACAGGCAGAGAGAGAGAGACAGAGAGAGAGAGACAGAGCACAGAGCACAGGCAGAGAGAGAGAGACAGAGAGAGAGAGACAGAGCACAGGCAGAGACAGAGAGACAGAGACAGAGAGAGAGAGACAGAGCACAGAGCACAGGCATAGAGAGAGAGAGACAGAGAGAGACAGAGCACAGGGACAGCACAGGCAGAGAGAGAGAGACAGAGCACAGAGACAGCACAGGCAGAGAGAGAGGCAGAGCAGAGAGACAGAGCAGAGACAGAGGACAGAGAACAGAGCACAGAGACAGGACAGAGACAGAGCAGAGAGAGAGACAGAGCAGAGAGAGAGACAGAGCAGAGAGAGAGAGAGAGAGACAGAGCAGAGAGACAGAGACAAGAGCACAGGGACAGCACAGGCAGAGAGAGACAGAGCAGAGAGACAGAGGACAGAGAACAGAGCACAGAGACAGAGCAGAGAGAGAGAGAGAGACAGACGACAGAGACAGAGAGAGACAACAGGAAAACACACCACACACACACACACACACACAAGCAGTTTCTTTCTGGCTGCTGGAGACATCCCTGCGAGTCAGTGATCCAGCAATTTCAGACCAAGGGAAACAGGGGGAGAGAGATCAGAACAGAGAGAGAGAGAGAGAACACACACACACACACACATATATATATATATAGACTATAGATAGATATTGTGCAGCTGTTGGGTTTATTTTTCTGTTTTCACATCTGTAAAGGATTTTGCCTGTGGCTCTGCCCCTGTGATGGTGCCTCGTGTGGACTGATCACGTCGGTGGGGTCGGAGGGGGAAGGGGAGAAGGTGGTGGAGGAGAAGGAGGAGGAGAAGGTGGTGGTGGAGGAGGAGGAGGAGAAGGTGGTGGTGGAGGAGGAGGTGGTGGAGGAGGAGGAGGAGAAGGTGGTGGTGGAGGAGGAGGTGGTGGAGGAGGAGGAGGAGAAGGTGGTGGTGAAGGAGGAGAAGGTGGTGGAGGAGAAGGAGGTGGTGGAGGAGGAGGAGGTGGAGGAGAAGGTGGTGGAGGAGAAGGAGGTGGTGGAGGAGGAGGAGGTGGAGGAGAAGGAGGAGGTGGTGGAGGAGGAGGAGGAGAAGGTGGTGGTGGTGGAGGAGAAGGTGGTGGAGGGGCAGAAGGTGGTGGAGGAGAAGGTGGTGGTGGACACAGTACAATGAAAAGCGAGAAGAAACTGACGCGGAAATGGCAGCAGCTGCCGGGGAGGAACACCTTCTGCTGCGATGGACGGATCATGATGGCCAGACAGAGGGGAGTGTTCTACCTGACGGTCTTCCTGATCGTGGGAACCAGCGGCTTGTTCTTCGGCTTTGAGTGAGTAACAATGAAGCAGGTTTTTTTTGTTGTTGTCTTGTCTGTCAGTCAGTCTGTGTGTCTGTCTGAGTGTCTGTGCGTCTGTGTCTGTGTCTGTGTGTGTGTGTGTGTGTCAGACAGAGGCAACAGCAATTGGGGTGTGTGTCTGTGTCTGTGTCTATGGGGGTGAAAGGGATGGTCATTGCTACACTTGCAAAAGTGTCTCTCTCTCTCTCTCTCTCTCTCTCACACAGACACTGACACAGTCCAATTTATTTCGTCTGATGTTTTATTTGAAATCCCAATCCACACTCCCACACAAACACATTTTTTTTTGTGAAAAATTTAAAAAAAATGCTACATTTGCAGCCTGATCTGAAATGATATATAATCTTAAAAGAGCCATTCCTCCTCCCCTCCCCTCCCCCCCCACCCTCTATACTGATTTATGGCTGACAAATGACATTAATTGAACGTGAATTGACATCAATAAGCGACATTCATTGTACTGTGGACCCGGTTGGATGGCTCGGCCTGCAAAAATACACAGTCACTACACTGGACAGCGATTCCGGCGACCAGCTTGGAGACGTCCTCCCGACGAGAAAGGCGCTGCATCAAGTGCACGGATTATTGTTGTTGACTGTATTGTTATAATCCCGCGTCCGTCTGTCAAATCTCAGATTTTCAGCTCGAGTTATTTTTGACTGATTTAACAGCAAACCGCCCCCCCCCACCCCGCACCCCCCCCCCCCCCCACACACACACCACGCAGAGGCATTTCGTTCCAATGACTTTGCAATCTGTCTCCTCATACCAATCGGGCTAGGCAGCGCTGTGATCTTGGCAGCAGTGGGTATTGTTAAAACCCTATTTCCTCTTGTGGAAATGCTTTAATCGCCCATCTGCCTCTGAAGTATTTATTAATGACGTTTCCTAAAAATCACGGCGGTATCATATTACACTAAAGTTCACGGAACGCTGTCTTAAAGAAGCACTGTCATGGGAGCCAGGACAACACGCAGTCAGTGATTTTCATTGTAAGTCACGAATGCCGGGAAACCGTTGGGATGTGTTTCTCTGTGATTGCAGACATCCATCAGAGTATTTGGCAAATCCTGATAAAATAATGTTTGCCAAACACTTTGCTAAGCGTAAATCCATTTACAAGAATGACATTTTTTTTTGTGCGTGTCATGAAATTATTCAGCACTTGCCTACAAAATATATAGTCAATTCACTTTACAGTGTATTCTGTGAAGCGCTTTGAGATGTCTCAACGACATGATAAGGCGCCAAATCATTATCATTATTATTTTCTCGTCCACAGCCACTGATTTTAAAGTTTGCTTTAAGCCTGCACCAATGGCTCACTGTGGGTCAACGGATTAAGTGGCTATGAGACATATGGTTTGATTCCTAATCTCTGCTGAGAGTACTGGGAGAGCACCTAAAGACATCGTCAGTGTCCCTGGGCTAGGGAGAGGAAAATTCCGCCTCCAGCTTTCCTGTGCGCCATCCAGTGACCTCTCGGGGTCTGCTTGGAGCTGAACTTCCTCCAAGGTGCCATGTTTGGCAGTGGAATGTCGGAATCCAGCCAGCCCTCTGTGGCGGTCTTGGTAGTCCAGTTCTTGAGCCAAGTGGGTCTGCTGTATTCCAAGGCACTGCTGATGACAGAACAGCTGGTCTGGCTTATTGGCAGGACATGGAAGGGCAGACCAATCACCGGATGCAGGGAATCCTTCCAATCAGCTCCTGTTAACCCTGCAAGCCACAACCGTAATGGGTAGGGTGGTCCTAGCTGGACAAGCAGCGGGAAAGCTTGCCAGACAGCAATATTAATGGCAAGCTATTCGGTTTTAGCTGGTTAGACTCCAGCAGTTACCTCAACGCACACTCTGGGGTCCCCAAGCCTTGACTCTTGACAACCTGCGCCTAATACTTTCCAGAATGAGGTAAGCAGGAAGCGTCCCTCCAGGATGAGAGTGCACATTCCATTCCAACAGTCTATCTCTGGGATTTCCAGGTGTCGGTGGGATGCACAGAATTCTCAGTTTGGGTTGGATACTCTTGAACACGGTGATGGGTTTCCGTATGTGTCAGACACCCGCCTGACCCAAGAAAAGAAAAAGGAATCCCCTGGAAATGGTATATGTGTGGACAACAACAGCGTTTTCTATAGCGTCCTTCACCGTGGTAATATCTTGAGGTGCTTTGGCTAACAGATATCAGCCCCAGGTGTGGTTTGGCTCTGTTGCTCTTCCTTGCCCCCGTGCTTGAGTGGCTTGGATGAGTCACTATCCAGATTTTCACTCAAAGGCACTTGTGCAACCAGCATGAAACGAGGAGAAATTGGTTATTTCATGATTTGAAATGATGGCTGCTGAGTATACGCTCAGCTGTTCCCGGGAGGGTGGTCCACGATGGAGAGCCAAACCTCAATCATGTCTTTGCTGTATCTTACTGTGCTCCTGTACAATGGGCTGATGTGGAAAAGAGGATAGGATGTAATTAACGTGAAATACATCTAAGAGCGGATGTGATTTTGTTTTATATAAAATTGTTTTTTTTAAAAACCAAAGGAACTCATCCAATGACCTACATTTATTTGTGTGTCAGCCTGGCTCGGGGAGAGTCACAATGTTTCGTCTCAAAGGCAGAAGGCTGTGGATTCATGCCCCATGTCGGGATTTTGAATTCATAATCGAGGCTGACACTCCAGTGTAGTGGTGGGGGAGCGGTGGACAGTTTTACGTGCTGTCCTTCGGATAAGGTATTAAACCAAGGTCCCACCTGCCTGATCAGCTGGATATTAAATATCCCATGGTATTATTTGAATACCTCAGATAAAATCAGTCACTCACTTCATAGCTATTTGTGGGACATTGGTATGTGAAAATTGGCTTCCGGGTTCACCTACAAAATACCACATTCATTACAATTTACAGCATATATCCTGTGAAGTGCTTTGAGACATCCTCTCAAATTTGACTAGGGAGCATCATGGCTGAGCCAGAGCCTGTGCACTTTCCAGAAGGGAAATTGGATAGAGCGCAGAAATGAAAGAAAATTTCCCTCATAATACTAATCCTTCCATTTGATGTAGCGCCTTATCACATCTTCGAGACGTCGCAAAGCGCTTCAAAGAATATATTGTGCAGTTAATTGACTATATATTTTGTGGGTGAAATCCAGGGGTGATGAGGCCAAAGTGGTGCCCCAACTGCTCCCTCTATTGCGATGAGGAGACAGCCTGGTTGACCCACTGACCTGAATGGTATTGGGCTGATGATAGAATAGCCAACTTCTGCACTCTTGCAACCAGCTTGTCTATGTAGAATTAGTTTTTTCCCAAACAACTGTACATGGGCCGCAAATGCACAGTTGTAATGTGCGGAAAATTTGAAAGCTTTTCATTTGTTAATGAAGCAAATTATGTATCAGGATGGATGTCGTGGGGGATGTTGAGTGCGATGCACTGTGGCAATGTGCACAGTTACTGTGGGACTTCACGTCGTAAATTCACGTCATGCCAGGGCTCTAAACCTACTGGGCCACGGAGCACCACTCCAGAAATAGAACTTGTGATGATGAGAATCGTTAGTGTAGTGCTGACTTTTTCTTTTGTCCACCCCCCACCACCGCTCCCTCCCATTTGTTTGGTTCACAAAACTGCCCCGCAGTATGAAACAAGAGGCTTTGGTGATCATTTGATGAGTGATCAATCCACGGAGCTGAACATGAGGAGTTATCAATACATGCTGTGTTTGAACCTGTACTCCTGTTTTCAAATCAACATTTATAGGACAGGATGACCCAACCCATTGCACTGCACATCCAGCTGCTTAGACCAGGGTCAGCTGGCACCACAGTGAGAATACGAGACCTCTCTCTGTGTTGGTCGCTGTACCACATGCTGTCTGACAGAAAGGGACAGGTTGCTAGTGGTAGAAAAGTGATCCTAGGAACATAGGAATTACTAGATGAAAAAAGGCCAAGGTCCATGTAGTTTGCATTCTGCCATCCTGGAGTTGCATACATGCTGCAATAATGGGGATGTTGATCGCAATTAATTCTGTATGGATTAGTCTACAACAGAGTGGAAAGCTATTGAACCTTAGATCCAAAGTTGGCTGGTTCTTCCAAGCATATTTCCATATTTCCATGTCTCAAATTACTCATATTATTACTAGATATTGTTTTCTAAAAGAAATATCTCATTTGTATTTGATTGAAATACAGTGCAGCCTTGCTCAGCCTCTGGGTCAGAAATGTTGCTCTGTTTAAAATGCAAGTGCTACTTAGTCTCTGTTTGTTCTTTCGTTTCCAAACATCAATAATTTATTTGCTTTATATTTGCCAAATGGTGTTTGAAAATATCTCGGAAATAACTGAAACCGAACAATTCAAATAGCTTTGTGCGACGATTCACAGTTCAGTCTTTGCAAACTTGGGCTGTGACCCAGGAACCAGTGCATCTGAACAAACTATTATTAATAATCTAACTTAATTTAGATTAAGGACTTGATTTGCGTGGAGGGATTGTAGTGTGGGGGAGCCGGGGTGAAGAAAGGTGTGCTTTGCGTTAAAGCTGTAGCGACTGTCATTAGACTAAATGGAAATTGATGAGGTATGCGTGAGATTTAATGCTTGGTTAAAGTGCTTTCTGGGGGATTTCTGTGTAAAAAGTGAATGGAGACAGTCAGCTGGGACTTTTGTGATGAATGTTCCTGGACTCAGATGATTTTTTTCCCTTTTCACAGATGTACTGTATAGTTTGTTTTAACAGTTGCTTTTTGGTTTACTAATCCAGAGTAGCCTGAGTTTTAAACTAAAGAAGCAGAATCTGACAAGTGGAAAATCAATCCCACCGTAACCTTTATTATAAAGTCATATTGAAATATTTCAGTAGTATTTCATTGTTAAACAGTTTTTCAGTATTGAAGGAAATGGATGGTATATCATGGTTTGAAATTAACTACATGTGTTTATGTAGCTTTTACTGGTTGATCTATTTTCCC